CACAACGATGTCGCATAAGTGTCACAGAATCTCGAAGGCATCCCCCCCCCCCCCCTTAGGAAGGAAAAGTTAGCACAATACTGCTGAAATAATTCAGCAATCTACTTGGAAAACAATCAGTGACGCCACGACTAAAGAAAGTAGAATCTCTAAGGCCTTCTCATCCGGTCGAAATCCGGAAAACATCAAGAGCAATATGCCGAGGATGGCAGGCATAAGGCACATACCCATCTGCAGCCATAACTTGCGATTCGACCTAATATCGGCAGTAGCTTCAGATCTGCGAGTGCGTTCGTGATGCAGCCGCCATACTGATACAATGAAATGAATAACCGTAATGACCACATCGAGTGACGAAAGCACGACAGACAGGTATGAGGAAGACATAAGCTTTTGGGGAGGCGAGGAGATGGGCGATCAACAAAGGAGGTTGATAGGATGCCGCCAGAGAAGGAGAGATGGGTTCTGGATGCCTCGTTCTATCTGCATTTGGGGACGAACGAATCTGAGTAGAGACAATAAAGCGAGGCGGGAAAATGGAATGAGGGCACATGCTGGTTGCCTCGTTCTGCAGCTTCTTCTTATGTATTGGACTGGATTCCCAGTTTGGTTCTCGGCTTTTACCAACAGCAATTGTTATATCCACCTTCTTCATCTATACTTAATCACTTCCATGAGAAAGAGGAACGGCTCGAAGACGCCACCTGTTATGAAGACAAATTGGGACAGCCGGGATCGGGTTCCGCGGTAGTCTGGGGAGCTTCGAGACCAACGGACCAACGACAGGCGAAGATTGCTTACTAGGGATCGGTCACATTTGCAAAATGTGACCGACCCCCTGCTAGAGAACGATATTTGCTTTCCACCTCAGTACTATCTTCCCTTCATTTGCGAGCTTACCATTTGAATATGGATTAGAGCGATTTGAAATCCCTTTGCGACCGTGATTTATCCTATATCTTTTTAAAGGACCAGGGAAATGCTGTAGCTAAACTTCCCTGTCCCCGCCGACAAGTCTCGAAGGAACGGACAACTCGTATTCACTTTGCTGTACACCACAGCAGCCACTGGGCCGCTATTTCATTATCTATCTCGCCTTTTGAGATCCGAGCCATTCCAAAGCAAAAGTTCTTTCGATGTTCCTTACGATATATTCCACATTGCAAAGCGGATCGGTTGGCAGATATCTCTCCCGATGTCATAAGTGCTGTACAACGAATTTATGATTGCCACTACCAACTTACTCAATGGGACTTTTCAAGCCAATATTGGTAAGTTTCAAATCATATCCTTGGTTTTGTACTAACGCATTTAGTCCTTTCAGCGATCCTGTACATCATATCCGCCGTCCGAACAAAAACACATGCGCAGAGAATGCCCATGCGGCGCTCATTGAGTATATACATCAAGGGAAAGGTATAGCGAGAAGGAGAGTCCCGTAGAAGAATATGAGTTGAGCGATGACGGTAATAGACATACACGCGGAATCGAACATTAGAGATTGAATACCCTTCACGATATCGATCACAGTAACGGTGGTAGGCACCCACACAGAATCAAACGTCAGAGATTAAATACCCTTCACGATATTGGTCACGATCGCAGCCACGACGACGACGACGACGATGATGATCATGATGACGATAACGGATGATATAACGGATGATACAGATGATACAGATGATACGGATGATACGGATCGAGGCACTAGCTAAGCCACACAGAGTGATGGTGGAGCCATAGAGCACAACGCCGAAGCAGTCTTGAGAATTATTCGAAAAGGGCTTTAAGCATAGTACTCCCTGCCAAGAGGGAGGAAAAGTCCAGGCGGCAGCTTCAGGCAAAACATACAACAAACATGGTAGTCAGTCACCAAAGACCAGCACTTATCCACCGATATAATCCCATCACAATTTTTTGCGCAGGATGGAGATACCCCCGGGAGTAGATCCCTACAGCTAGAGCTCCTCCTCTGGCAGCAGTCGAAGACAAGTCCTCCGAAGCGCTAAAAAGATTGCCTGGAAAAGTTCCTTTCTCGCCGCATGCCCGTAGAAGTCGCGACCTTGTAGCTTCTACCAAGCACAAATCCAAATATCGGTGGACAACTGCAGCGTGGATGATAAATTCGATCGTTGATGGGCTTTGGCAGTTCGGGCTAGGAAGTATTGTTTCTTGGAAGGCTGAGGGAATGTGACGAGCGCGTCAACGATATCGGTAATCTGCAGTGAGTGCATCAAGTAGTCAGCGAATGCATTCCTAAAGAGATCTTTCACAACTACCTCTCGAAGATCGATTAAACTCCTTGAATTCCTCCCTGATTTCATCCAGTACATTGCTGTATCTTTGAACCGTCATCCACCTTCGATCAACCATCTCCCGAGTGGGGCCACCCACGATTATGTAATAATACACGTATCAGCCACCTTCAATATTTACGGAGCTATACTATATTTGACCTAGTCTCATATCGCTTATTGAATGCTCACGTGATGAAGAGGCAATTTCCATCGTTATCTCTATCTCTATATCATTCATCTCCATCACAACTTATCTTCATTCCATTTATCTCAATCCATCTCCATCGCACAATATATATTACAACTATCATCTCCATACCATCTATCACGACTATACAAACACGATCTTTCTATCGCCATCTCTATCATCCATCTCCATCACACAATATCTATTACAATTTATTCAATCCATCTCCATCGCACAATATATATTACAACTATCATCTCCATATCATCTATCACGACTATACGAGCACGGTCTTTCCATCGCCATCTCTATATTTTCTCCTCTACTAGGCTTTCAGGTATGTATCACCTCTTGTAGGATGATCAAGTATCACCTCTTGTAGGCTGGTCAAGTATCACCTCTTGTAGGATGATCAAGTATCACCTCTTGTAGGCTGGTCAAGTATCACCTCTTGTAGGATGATCAAGTATCACCTCTTGTAGGCTGGTCAAGTATCACCTCTTGTAGGCTGGTCAAGTATCACCTCTTGTAGGATGATCAAGTATCACCTCTTGTAGGATGATCAAGTATCACCTCTTGTAGGATGATCAAGTATCACCTCTTGTAGGCTGGTCAAGTATCACCTCTTGTAGGATGATCAAGTATCACCTCTTGTAGGATGATCAAGTATCACCTCTTGTAGGCTGGTCAAGTATCACCTCTTGTAGGATGATCAAGTATCACCTCTTGTAGGCTGGTCAAGTATCACCTCTTGTAGGATGATCAAGTATCACCTCTTGTAGGCTGGTCAAATGTCACCTGTAGTAAGGAGACTACTAAGCATCTTCTCCTTGCAACGAGTGTGGTTTCTCGATGAATATATTGTTGAAGATGGTATTTTAAGGCTTTTCATTCTGCTCCTATTGGTATTATCTTATTTCCTAGCTGAACAGTGCTAACAATTGTCCTTCCAGGTATTCTATCTTGAGTATAACAACAGGTCGCGATGGCTTCTCCGACATTCGGCTGCCCAAATATGCCTGTTGTTATCAAATGGGGCGATACCGAACAATACAACTATATTGGTGCACAAAGGCACAATCTCCGAATAAATATACACCTTGGCACGGAGACAAGTCCCCAATTGATTATTTGGTTCAGTATGACAATTGGAATTACAGCGAGCCCCGATTCCTCTACAATACGTACAAAAACGCTTTACTTCGTTATCCCAGCTAGTTTGCTTGGCCACAACGAGAACGACACATGTCTCTCGTTAGAGACTCCAAACTCTGATCGTTCTATCGACACTAGCACTGCTATACGAGAGGCTGGCATAAGTTCCGATCATGCCTCTGTTTCCCGTATATGCTTTCAGCTCCACGATCATGGCACAGTGTTCATGCCCCCTATTAATGAGCATGCCTTCACCCCTGCGTCGGACATTGCCTTACAACTATTGGTTAGTTTGCGGTCCCTTTCTCAGGCTAAGCAATTCTGGGTATATACATCGTCCGAAGATTCATGTCTCACCAAACTCTGGAAAAGGATCGACCGAATACGTGAGGGAACTTTTACAGGTGACTTTACGACTCAGAGCGTATTTAAACGTGGCATGGTATGCGACAAATGGACGAATTTCAACAATTTCGTGAGACGGGAGAATCCGGTGAGACGGGAGAATTCGGTGAGACGTGAAAACACTCTTCATGGCGAACAGCATGCCTCGGAGCCCCCACCGCTATACATTGGTGAAAGTCAGGGGGCTGGAATGGAACGCGAAGGTGATTCAGCAATTGGCCTTCTACTGAGCGATAGTACTGACATCCTAACAACAAAGATAATGATCCTTCCTATGTTCTCGACCAAGACCTTGTGGATAGCGAAAGCGATCAAGAATTGTCCTTGAAGCGTAAGCGCAGCTACAGCAATATATCTTCCGATCCTACGCCATCAGGTATCCTTAAGCATGTTACTGATGCTAGTATTCCTAATTCTAGTAAGCGATTTCTTTTGCGCCTCTTTTTCCCTCAAAGTTTCTCAAGCACTACTAACTATGTCCCCTAGATGAATCCCATGCAGATCATCAAAGTTCCAGAGTTCGGTTCGCCGAACCTTGTAACGAAGTCCCAAGCGCCATGGAAAAGGAATTGTCTGTCTTCATTTTTTGGGTGTTGGAGAACCACTTGCGCTTAGGAAAGAGTCGTGAGGAGGTCTTCTCAGATCTTGGCGGGGCAGTGTCTCGTGGAGATAAACGCAAATTTAACGAAATCAAATCGAAGTGTATGGCGAATATTTGCGTTAAATATGTCAAGACGGGATCGAAATGGGTTGTGAGGAATACTGTCTGATTGCAAAGAGACGGTTTTGGGGGCAAGGGTTTGCGGAAAGTTGTATAACAGGTGTTGCCTACGCATAGTCGACAGCTTCAGTCACATGCTGGCTGAATTACATAATTAAACTGCCTCCTTAAACCCTTCGAAACAAGAACCAATCAATTCCGTGAACCCGCTGCCATCCAAGTCTAATAGACAATCCTGTTGGTAATCAGGATAAATATTTTCAGATCGAAGTTTAATACCATGGGTTCTAATCACGTAGCTTTTGAACTGTATTATATTATCGAAAATCAGATCTTCAGTTTTAATAACAAACGAAGGGGCCATCTGCTGCTTGGTTGCGCAAATGAACATTTTCAATGTGATCCCACATGTGAGCAACGCAACGAAACGTGTCTGTACCAGATTTTGTGAAAATTATAGGGTGATGGGTGATATGAATACCTCGTGCCCCGCACCCCGTTGTACTTTATGTAGTACTCAGGACACGGGCTCATTAATACATGCAGAGTGAACTAGCATTGAGTTGCCATTCGAACACGCAATAACAACGCCGGATGGACCCAACACCTAGACCCTCGGAAGATACCGCACTCTACCGGCGAGCCATGTCTGATACTGGAACTAGACGAACGATGAGAGATCAGAGCGGCTTAACAATGGTTGATCGAAGGAATTATTTACTCTACCTTCCCCAAGTTCGCCATTTGACACACTTAGCAGCCAATCTAGTGTAGAACCATCCGGATCCACATTCCCGTTTCCTCGAATTGATGCCGAACCCAGTGAATCTCGAGAGTCACTTTGCGTTCTTATTGCGGAAGATAATCCTACCAAAGCCCGATTGTTAACCCGAAGGCTTGAAGTGGTACATGATGGCCAGTAATGCCACGACCATTACGCTTTGAAACCACATACCGTCGACGTCATTCTCATGGATCTGCAGGTATGTCGTCCCCTAGATCAAAGCAATATATCTAATCCTAATTCTTAGGCAGATGCCGTTAGTTGATGGGGCATTGTCCACGAAAATGATTCGCGAGTACGAGAAAGCGCTTGTCGAAAAATTGAAACACATTCGCTCAAGAGTTCCAACAATAGCTGTTTCCGCTTCACTCACCGAGGACAAGAGATTCGAATATGTTCAAAGCAGGTACGAGCCTTTCTTCGCCTGCTCTGCTCCAGATAAACTATGTTAATTCAATGATTCTAGTTTGATGTGGGGCGCTTGAGTCTTTTGTTCCAGGGAGTCAAATATCATAAACTGAGGAGAGATGCTCTATATACCCCTGGGTACTGGGAAAGAGGCGGCTGGCACTTGGCGTGAGCTCATTGTGCGACAAACCAACTGCGGAAGAGAAAGCGAACGGGAGCAGTGCACTCACGGGCCTGCGCGAAACCATTCAGGAAAGACAAATTGGTAGGTCGCAGGCCCTACTAGACAAGGGAACAGATGTGAATGGGAAGGATATTGGAGGATGGACGGCTCTAATCGTAGCTGCCACAGATGGATGCGAGAAAATTGTGCACTTGTTGCTGGACAATGGTGCTGATGTTAACATAAGGGGATATGATCAACGGTCAGCTTTGCACTGGGCGTCCAAAATTGGGCATGAGGCGGTTGTGCAGCTTTTGGTTGAGAAAGGGGCCGACATCAATGCGAGTGCGTACGGGTGGACAGCGATGCTGCTGGCGGCCAAGAACGAGTTTATGTCGATCGTGTGCTTTCTAATCCAAAATGGAGCTAATATTAATGCGGAGGATTATCATGGACGAACAGCACTTCACTGGGCCGCAAATTATGGTAGCGAATCGGTATTGAAGCTGCTAGTGAAAAAGGGGGCTGATGTTAATGCTGTCGATCGCTGGGGAAGGACAGCGATGATATGGGCAGCTGAAAATATGCAAAACGCAGTAGTGGAAATGCTGTTAGATGTTAGGGCCGACGTTGAGGTGAAGTCTCCGTATACTTTTGCCGCACTCCACATAGTAACTTTTATGGGGTGGGAGTCAGTTGTGCAACGACTGCTAGAAAAGGTAGTCGATGTAGAGGCCGAAGCTCAATGTTGTGAAGTTGAGGAGGAGAGTGAGGATTATGAAAATGATGCGGCAGAAATGGCGGAGAAGCCAGTGAGCGACCTTCTACGCCCGTGGTTGTCTGACCAAAGAACGATTTGGGAGGCACGAAGCAGTTCATAGAGGTGGACTGACTCGTCAATGCATTTCTTTCTTTTGGGATAAAACTTTCGACCTTTACCTTTCTATCCTACTTATAGAGGCAATTAAAAATAGACGTATTTGTTTCCAACGACTGACTATTCAAGGTCTCCTTTTGACTTTCAAGTCCACAATCAAGTACTTTTACTTGCTTAAGCTTTTCGTCAACAACTATCCCGATAAGATTTTAAGGTTTTTAGCAAAACCCCGATCCACTGCCATTTGATACTTATCAATATCCTCCAAACCATTTGCCACCAAACTTTGCCATCTGTTGACAGGCATACATAACAACCTCATCGCGACTTGCGTACGATAACAAAACCGTCTCTCTATTCAAAACAAATCTCCCCAAAAAATTTGCCTCTTTCAAATTCTTGTTTCTGCTCTTCAGAAAATAAATAGTGGTAGAATAATCCCATCAAGACAAATCGCATCCCACCTATTCTATTCTCCACAAAAATAAATCCATATTCAGCAAGTAGAAAGTCATTACTAATTATGATTACCATAACTGATATATATTTCCTCTCCCTTCGCAATTTGTCAATCAGCGCAGATTTTTATTTTGTATCTAGACGGCGAGAAAGTGACCTTGTAACCGATATCGGCGTGGTTGAAACTATCGGTAAGAGGGATGAGAGCCAAGTAATTGTTGCAATTGAGCGGTCTTTTGGTTTTTATTTTTGGCGAGTTGTAGTAAAATGTTCGGGTGCTGATTAAGAGCCAATTATAAAGGGTAATGATCGTAAGAGAGAGTTAGGGAAAGGAAAGCAGTAGAGACGGTAGTCCAATCGGAGGAGATTTTTTTCTTCTGGTTTTCTAATAGGGATAACGATGCCGGTGGAAATGTCGGTCTCGTTTCCAGTATTGCCACACTTGTCCAGCGGACGAGGAGATGGCTTATTCAGTCAGGATACTCTTTAGGACCGAGCTTTTGTTTATTTCTAGTCTTAGATGATTAGGAAATAGGAACAGACTCAGACCGACTAATCTTATCTAAAAGTAATTCTTTTTTTAATAATTAGTTTCTTTTTCGAGATTAATAAGTTTTTCTTCTTTTATCTTTTAGATGATTAATCTTTTTCTAAGAATTAGTCTTTCTTTAAGAACTAGTCTTTCTTTCTTAGAAGTTGTTAATTAAACTATACTAACTAATTATAAGTTTATATACTCTATATATAATCTATAACCTATATAACTCATTACTAATCTCTCTATCTATCGATAAACAATAAGCAAGCGCTATATCTTTTTAATAATTTTCTATATTATAATTAGAGAATAAGAAGATCACTCTCAAATCTAATAATTGACTCAGTTAAGTTCCTTTTTTTTTCGTTCCATATTAATCAAAAACTACTAGTCTAGTTTTCTAATCTACTTCTTAGACTCTAATAAGCTAATAGCTATATATAAAGAGCGTGAGTAAATAGTATGAGATTTTATATATTACGAATTGAATAATACTAATATTGATTTCTCATTCATAATCCTATAATCATATCTTAATTATATAGAATAGTAAGTATATGACTTTTTGTTTTTGTTGGTATTACCTGGGGGGTGAAATGGCTATACAATATGGTCAAAAAGTATTGTATTAAAAGTTGATTGACGCTATTCCCACTTCGAGAGCGGGGAGGCCTATATGGCCATCGATATCACGTGACCATAGTCACTAGTATCGCAATCGTTTTATAACTAATAAGTAGAGCTTTTTATTATTATAAATTCTGGAATAGAGATTAGATGTGTGAATTAAATTAGTGGCAACTGTTACAATATTGTATGTCATCTAAGGAATGTTTGTTCAAGGCATCCAATTACTACAGATTTTTCACCATATATATATGGACGACGGAACACGGGTTGTAAGTGTTCTGAAGTTACAGAATTCTAAGACTACTATAAGCGTTTTCGGGGGAATAGTAAGTTTTATTATTCTCTTGTAAGTTAATGTATATTGCATGTAATCATAGACTTGTCGCAAGGTTCATGTAGCATTAGCTATAGGTATATCAAATAAATATGAAGTTACTACTACTACTACTACTTCGTATGAACATATAGGACTTCTATATGGTTTCCAGCCGTGTACATTTCTCCTGATCCCCGCCACAACCATTTTTCGCCTCTCGCTTAAGTTCTGTACTATTACCCCTTTACAACCCAATCATCTAAAACCCATCAGAGTTTGCAATTTGAGCTAAATCTTTGTAACTATTCAATAGAGTTCCAACCTCGTGATATGCAAGCACCACTCCTGGTACAAAAAGCCATGACTAAAATTTATCTCCACATATTCCAACCAGCCCATTAATGCAGACACGGTACTACTTTAGCCCTACTCCATTATTCCATGGAGATACTCTCATTTAGTGCCTCCTCTCATTCTACATATTGCTTTAACTCATCAATTGACTAGCCCGCACACTCATAACAATTCAGTCATAAAGTGCCCAGAATCGTCTAACCCATCTAGGGCTGGATATCTAGGGCTAGGCTGCGCAACGGGTCCCCCGCGGGTCTAAAATATCATCAACGGGTCCCCCGCGGGGCGGAGTATCTGCGGGTCCCCACGGGTAGCGGAGTATTTCTGCGCAGCCTATCTAGGGCTATAAGTTCAAGGCTAGATCTAACACCCATTAAGTCATCAAGTTGATACAAATCGACAGATTCTTCTGCTCAGGGATAGAGACGATTAGGAATATCTTTGTTTCATTGAAAGTGAAGAGTGTCATTTTGAATTCTTAATTTCCATAATCAATACAAGCGATTGACCAGCAGCCATCGACTACCTACACTGCCCGAAGATCAAATTCAAAGAAATGTGAAGGCGGCACACATACAGTATGATAGCTGTATTTAACTGACATGAAAGAGATGAATTATATGCATCAACAACGTGCCTGCGGTATCACCCTGTCACCGTAAAGATTGGTTGTCTAACTACCGCAGTGAATTTCCGCAGTGGTGGAATCATATAAGGAAACCTTTAAGCCCAAATTGAATTAGACATCATTGTATCAAACTTTACCGTAGAATAATACGCACTTCTACTGTTTTTATTTTATTTTTGGACTGAATCGTAATCTTCCGTTTGACTAGGCCGTTCAAGAAGCGAGCTGATCATACTACAGCCTTACCGAATCGTAAGATTACATCTATTTAATACACAAACTTGATCTACAAAATTTAACTTCCTCCAAACCATCTTCCATACACTCAAACATACATACCAAGAAGGACGAAACCCATCCAAGGAAACTCCTCTCAATATTATCCAGATCTTCCGCTCACCTTTACGATTCATTTTATCTCAAGTCTTCAGAAACACATAACCATGAACACCACTTTTTCAGCTTGGTTTACACCATTACAGGTACGCGCCTACGAAATACTCCGCCGATCAAAAGACCGCGGAGAGTTTTCGATGTATCCATTCCTACCTCCCGAAATCCAGATCAAGATTTTCAAATGTAGATTTCCCCCACCACAAATCGTTGGTCTACCATTCAACACCCAGTTTACCCAGCAACACATTACGCTAAATCTCAAAATATTCCCGAAAGGAGACATTCCATACCTTCCGAAAATATGCCGGGACTTTCATACCGAAGTTCTTCGAGAATACCAAAAGATCGAGATCCAAACATACGGTCAGAGCTCCAAATCCCAACTATTCAAAGCTATGAAGAATGATCTACCTCCGCGGGATCTCTTTTTGAATCGCAGCAGACGCAATAATTTCTGGATTAAAAAATTGAAAGTCCGTTCATTGAGTCATGTGTATTTTCAACCGAAGCATGATACCTTGTTCTCACTCTATCTCGTCGGCGGCTCGATAGATTTATCACGTGTCACCCGCCTAGCTCTACTTAACACAAGATATCGTGAACAGGATCATGGTTTTAATGAAGCCGACATGAGACATTTGATGTATAGCATGATCAGCGTGCAATGCCCTGCTCTTTAGAAATTGTCTGATAATAGGATTTGAAAACGATGTCGAGAAAATAGGGCAATTTTTTGATCACTTGCATGACATGATCTTCGACATCACCGACGACTTCTGCAATCTGGATTTCGAAGATCACGAAGGAAGATTGATAGAATTTGATACACAAGAACTCTTAGATAAGGCAAATAGTCTCCATTCGGGGTTTAAAATATTCCCAAGACACGATAACCCGGATTTTGAACTTTCTGAGACATCTGTAAGTTTCTGGAAAACGCGTGCGCCAGTTGTAGGCATAGTTGCTTACTTTGATGATGATTGGGCGTGGCGGGAATTGGGGATGAAATGTGCAGAGCCGAGAATATGGTTGCCAGATTTGGAGGCTTCTTTGCCGGTTCATATGGATAGAACTGTTCTGGATAAATACAAAGGGTTGGCGCAAATCCTTGAGGGAGCTCCTTGGTAGATTGGACATAGGTGTGGAGTAGTTGGGTTGTCAAGGAGTGTAATTAGTCAGGTTGAGAGTTTCGAAGAGCACGACATGCAAGGGATTTGAACAACTACTCTAGGAGAGATTACAATTCAATAAAGCAGAAAGGCAGCAGCTCCGAGTCTAGGAAGATAATTCAAGTCAAGATTAAATATGAATTTCGTTAACGAGAATCGAGTGATGCATGTATTCTCTCGGGCTGCTTTTGAAGTTGCTCTGAATTTCCCATTCTACTCAGAGTAGTAATACTAGCAGCCCTAACCCTATTTCAAGATTAAAAAACTTATAAAAATAACTTTATTATTTAATAATTTTGTTGGAATATCACTAAGATCATAATATATAACAGTAGTAATATTGTATATATGTCATCTTAGAGATATTCTAATAGTATTGGATATATGTATAGTAAGTGTATATATATAGACGATATCATGTGACCTTGTGTAACCCTAGACTGCACTTCCAACAAATTTAATTATATTGAAGAGTTATTTGGTTCAAGTTGAAATCATGTTTTTTGAACATACGCTATAATATTAGATCTATAATCAACTAATTTATCTTAATTTACTATATAGTAGTTACTAGTAAGCCGAATAGAATTCTTTAAATAAAGATCTAGAATTTATATTAAACATTAGACACTCTAATTTTAAACATTAGACACTCTAATTTTAATATTATAGCGTAATTCCAATATCTATACTTTATTCTTTTCTTTTTCCTCTTTTTTTATATTCTTTTAATATTAATTCTAATTCTTATTATATCTAATATCTAGTATATTTTAATTTCATATAATTACCTACTATATTATTATTATGATTCTATTAGTTTTGATAATATACATAACCCTTTAATATAATTCATAATTTCAACTCTACAATCATCTTTTATCTATTATCTATTATCTAGCCTTAACTTCACAATCCATCTACTATTCCATCACCTATCATCTTCAATACACAAAATACACATCATATCCCAACCCATCCCATTACAATCCCAAAAAATCCACCGATTCAACAGTCCTAAATTCGCAGTATCCTACGATTATCCTCCTCCTCATTAAAACCCATCTACCCATCTACCCATCCCATCCCTCCCTCACCGTCAAAATCCATCCATACTGTCCATTCCATTGTATCCATGGTTAATCAATCAATCCATCTCTGCCTCCTCTCCCATATTCACCACCAATTCATCCATCTCTACCCCCTACCTTCCCCATCCCATCCCCATCTCTCCATCTTTTCCTTCCTTTAAATACCATCTCATTCTTTCCCATCCCTTCCTCCATCCCATTCCACCCTCTCCTCTCTCTCCTCCTCGTCTTCTCCCCCCCTTCCCCCTTCACCTGTTGAGTTGCAAGACGCCTATGCGTCCTGAGCGAAATCAGAATTTCATTTTACCAAATAGATCCGTGGCGATTATTCTATATTTTATGGATATATAAAGTATGTTTTCGAAGAAATCCGTAGATATTGTTCTTTTATAGTCGAAACCAAGATCTTCTACTAATAGACACTGGCAGTAGCATTATTCCAGAAATGATGAAAGATTGAGTGATTCGGTTTATATATTTGCTACCATAAGGCTTTGCTGGAGAGAATATATCGTTCGATAGATATTAGCGAATTTCTCTGTAAACAATACCTCCGGGTTGCTTCCAATCCAGTACCTCCCACTGGTACCAATCCAT